CAATGCATCGACAGCCAAAGAGTAGGCGAACCCTGAACCATTATTCCCGACGGGTATGTGGGGAAGGGGGAGCCGAATGGCATGGTTTTATGTACATAGGCGTAATTCGAGCAGCAGAAGAGTTTAATTCAAAGTTCCCACTCTCGTGCCTACGTTTCGAAGATGACGTGGGCATGGGGGGTGCGAAAGGGAACTAGGTAACACAGCAACTGCACATGCTTAGCATGTAAGCAAATCCGCATGGCTCAAGCCATTTTGGCTCAAGTCATGCGCGAGGAAAAAGACCGTTCTCCGAACGCCATGCAGTGACGTTGCCCTGCACCACCAGCACAACCGGTACTACCATCAAAGGGGATAATCCAGAACAAGGATCAATTTGTTCACATATATATATATAGAATCCATTCATATACGGAATGGAATAAACCAACGAATCAGGCTTCCTCGTGGGATTGAATAGATATATTCATAGGGGTCTAATGTGGGTAAAACAATGCCATAAATTATAATAAACCACTCATGACTGGGAATGGTAAACGTACCACCTATTTATGGTGATGACTGGGGGATGTTTTATTATTGTGTTACCCACATTATACACCGTTTTTATGGGGATATAACGAACATATATTCCAAACCTCTGGAAATTGGGTACCCTGAATTGCACTCCGGCAATTTGCTACAGTTTGCTATGGAAGCCATGGCCCATTTAGTTCAAAGATGTCCTTATTAAAAATGGTGATTGTCCGATGCAATTGAATTACCAGAGGGCAATCGGTTAGGAGGGAGCGTTTTGGAGGTATCGATATTCATATTCCAATGGGGAGCCAAGGAGCCATGAGCTTCCCCACACGATAGACAGATTGTTTTCCCCTTAGCCACTTGGAAGAGACAGAGAGAGAGGGAGAGATTACAGACACAGAGATATATATATATAATATTTATTTATTTATTTATCTATCTATCTATCTATCTATCTGTCTATCTATCTATCTATCTGTCTATCTATCTATCTACCTGTCTATCTATCTATCTATCTATTTTTTTATTTAATTTATTCATTTATTCAATTAACTTACTTATTTAAATTTACATATACACATTTGTGTATGCCCAGGGCGCCGTCGGTGGGCCATTGCTCACCGCCACGGGCGCCGCCGCGGAGAAGGCGCTGGGGCAGCTGCTGCGCCAGCGCTACACGCGGCCGGGCGGCTGCACGGATCGGTGCCGTGGCGGATGGAGGTGATGACTGGGGATATCTATGGGGAAATTGCTAGAAACCATAGGAAAACCATAGGAAAATGGAGGTTTTCATGGGAAACCCATAGGAAAACCATAGGAAAATGGAGGTTTTAATGGGAAAACCATAGGAAAACAATAGGAAAATGGAGGTTTTAATGGGAAAACCATAGGAAAACTATAGGAAAATGGAGGTTTACCCTCTGGTAAACATAGAAAAAACGATGGAAAGATCCACCATTTTGTAGCTGGGTAAATCCACTATTTCTATGGTCATTTTCAATAGCTATTTTGACATAACCAGAGGGTACATCATATATTACATCAATGGGATTATAAATGGGATTCCCATTGACATTGAAAATGGTGATTTAACCACTATTTTTATGGTGATTTAATGGTTATCAATGGGATGATAATGGGATTATAATGGGATTATAAATGGGATTATAATTATAAATGGAATTTTAAATGGGATTATAAATGGAATCATAAATGGAATTATAATATACTATAAATGGGATTATAATATATTACATAAATGGGATTATAAATGGAATTACAATGGGATCCTAGTTTTCTATGGCTGAATAAGGATAAATTTATGGGATTTTTTCATGGAATATGAATGGGGATAGAATGGGGAACTCATCATCAGCCTGAGAACGTTTTGGGCCATAGTTTGTTATTTAAGTAAGTAGCAAATAGATTATCAGAGTTTTTCCCCCTAGAGGGGTGTTACTAAACCCAGCTGCTAACCAGGCATCGCTAATCCCATGGCCCATGTAAGTAGTCTCTGGCTGCTACTTCTAATGCAATTCTACAATTAGTGATATGATATATATATATATGCGTGTATGCATATATATATATACATATAATATACGTATACATACATACATACAATACCATACCATACCATACCATACCATACCATACATACATACATACCATACATACATACCATACATACCATACCATACCATACCATACCATACCATACCATACCATACCATACCATACCATACATACATTACATACATACCATACATACCATACATACCATACATACCATACATACCATACATACCATACATACCATACATACCATACATACCATACATACATAGATACATACATACATACATACATACATACATACATACATACATACATACATACATACATACATACATACATACATACATACAGAGCTATTGTCAACCTTGGCTGTATGCTATCCGTTTGAGAAGTCGGAATTAACAACAGCAATTGGTAAACCCAAGGGATTTTGTGGACTAGCCTGCAAGAAGTAACAGAAACGGGAGTTTATGATAGTTTATCGAACGAGTATGGAGGCATTATGGGATCTTTTATATATGGGGAGGATTGGGCTGGGTAGATCTAAATATGTTGCAAATCGCGGTTTGTATATATTTGTATTTGATTGTTTTTTCTTTTTACCTATTTCGAATTTCGAACAGATATATGCAGATGGATATGGCAACTAGTTTAATTTTACGTATAAACATGTACATACATCCCAGGAACCCAAATGACCCCTTAGTTTGGAGGGTGGATTCTCCATTGCTGATGCCTTCAAATGGCTGGGATGATAGGGTGCAACAGGGTATCAATTCCCACGGTTGTATACTTGGGGCATTGACCGAGGGGCCTAACCCATACAGGACCGCCGTCCAACTCCTTTTTCTGTTGTAAACTTATATTTTCATTACCCTCTGGTAAACTAACATAGCGATTGAAAATTGCCATTTATAGTGGATTTACCCAGCTACAAAATGGTGATTTTCCATAGTTAAGTTAGTTTACCAGAGGGTATATACCAATAATTGTTGGTGAAATCCCCCGTTTTATCATCCACATTCTTGATGGTTCAATTCCAGTATTTCGGGGGTGTTAAATTTCAAATAGCCTTCGACAATAACATGTCGACAGCACATCCACCATCTAGGCACATGATGTCCCATGTAGCCACGTTTGATGACACCAGAGGATATATCCCATGACAATATCCCATCAATATTTTTTGAATATCCCATGAAAATTTCCCCTTGTTATCCCTTGTTTTATGTTGGTAAAGCAATAGTAAACCAACCCAACTTATTATCAATGGGTATTACATTACCTTTTGATGGTATTTACATTCCATGTATCAAAATTTCTTATATAAATGGTACCCTCTGGTAATTTAACGTAGCTATTGAAAATAACCATTTATAGTGGATTTTCCCATTAAAAATGGTGATTTTCCATAGTTATGTTAGTTTACCAGAGGGTATATCCCTAGGTATTTCAGGCATCGGCTTTTAAGGGACCGTCCTCGTGTTGCGGGATGTGAGGTGCCTCAATGGCCAAGTGGGCAATGGCGTCTACGCACAAGACGAGGTCGCTGGAGAAACTGAAGTGGGAAAGGATCAAAAGCTATGGGTATCCAGAGGTATACCATATATATATATATACATATATATATATAGGTATATATATATATAGGTATACCACCTAGAAAAGATTTGGGGGTACCAAGTTTATTTTTTTGCTGGTACCAAAAGTGATCCGTTCCGGATCAAAACCGATGATTTGCCATGATTTTCGAGGATGAAGATCAAACTATACCATCTGAAAAAGGGGGGTACCAAGGGTTTTGACATGCAGGGGTGACTGGGTGGTTAAGTGGTTAACCTTTGAGCCACAATAGGAGGAATATGTCACATCCCAATACTGTTTCTTTTGGGACGGGGATCTAGGATCTAGAGTCAAGCCTGAGCACTTTTGTTTTGAAAACCCAAGCGCCTTTGTCCCTTTGGAACCACACAAACACATACCTTCCCCCCAAAGATACACATCCTTCACATTTTTGTGGTTGGCATATTTTTTTTGCACTCTCCAAGGTAATCAACCCTCGAGATATATTGACGTCTCCACCTCCTTATATATGACTTATAACGCATAACTATAGGCTGCGTGTGTATACACACACGCGCGCACACACACACACACATATAATATATATATATATATACATATATATATATATGTATATGTATTTATGTATTTATGTATATATGTATATATGTATATATGTATATATGTATATATATATATATATGTGTATATGTATATATGTACACACACACGCACACACACACATATACATATATATATATATTGTTTATATATATATAAATACATATATATATATATATATATTTAAAAGTAATATATACGAATTGCATATATCAGACATGTATCCCAGGAACAAAACCGGCTTAGCCGCCAGGGCTAATCCTTTTAAGCCCCCGAGGGCCAGGCCCCTGGTAGGGCTCCCAGGTGCACGCTGAGAGTAGCGGCCTGGCTCGCACCCTGCAGAGCGCCTATGCGCTGCACGCGGGGCTCTTCCCGCAGGGCTCCGTAGAGAGTTCCGGCGGCGAGGCCGTGCAAGTGCCACTGCCGGTGTATAGCAGACCGACAGGAGACGGGGCAGGGTGGGTTGGGTTAGGGGTGTTGGGGGTTGGGGGTGTTGGAAGATGATCGTTGGGAGGGATGATGGCTGATTCGTCTTTAATTTGTTCTTGGGAGGTCAATCAGGAATACTGGAATTGTTGTTTAAAAGACATGACCAAGATCCTTCAAACCATCCATTCCCAGCATTTTTGCCACCCAAAAAAAAAACTCTGGCCACTTGTCCTCCAAGCCTCGGGTGCTCGGGGCAAGGAGAGGATTTCATCCTGCGGGGCTACACCATGTGCACTGCACAGGCGCGGAATCTGGAAGCATGGCAGTCTTCTCCGGAGTTTCTGACGCGCCCTGGAGCTGACCTTGACACGGAAATGGTGGGTTTGGGTGGTGGGTTTTTGATGGGACACTTCGGATTGGGAATATCTGAAACTTTGGAGTCCTATGGGTTGGTTAATGAGCTGCTGGAGTCTTTAGAACTCGAGTGACAATGGAATGTGGCAGTCACAAGTTGGCACGTCATAGTTCACAAAAAAGATGAAAATAGCTTGTGTTCATGTTTATGCATGTTTGTCATTGTTGACCCTCGCGGAAATGAACAATCATAAGTTTCAATCCATCTCCAAATGCACCAAGCCCAACCCATGTTTATTCCACGTTTATTCCATATATATATATATATCTCTATCTATCTATCTACCTATCCACCTATCTACCTAATCAATCTATCAACCTATCAATCTATCAATCAATCAATCAATCTATCTATCTACCTACCTACCTATCTATCTATCTATCTATCTATCTATCTTTCTAATCTTTCTAATCTATCGATCTATCTGTCTCTCTCTCTCTCTCTATATCCCTGTAACATTGGGACTGCAGCAGGCCAACCCCGTCATCCCCCAAGGAAGGCCTCCGAGACCAAAGCGTTTCGGAGTCGCATGGCGCAGCTCTTAGGTGCGGCCGGTGGATTGGCATCGTACGGATCGGTCAACCACTGGAGTCACTGTCAGTAGAGATTTCTAGAGAAATCATGGTGGATTTTGATCAAAAGAGGCTGGTTTGATGTTTAAGTTTTTCCCCAACAGCAAAACTTTGCTATGGGGTCTTTAGCCCAGATTAGCTCCGGTGCGATCCGGTGCAGCTTCAACACCAGGTTCCGGACAAGGTTCCGGAGGGTTCTGGTGCAGGTTACCTTGCGAGGTTCCGGAGGGTTTTGGCGGAGAAGATGCTTGGTGAGGTTCCGGAAGGTTCCAGTGCAGAGACCTTGTGAGGTTCCGGAGGGTTTTGGCGGAGAAGATGCTTGGTGAGGTTCCGGAGGGTTCCAGTGCAGAGACCTTGTGAGGTTCCGGAGGGTTCTGGTGCAGATGCTTTGTGAAATTCCAAAGGGTTCCGATGTTTTTATGGCACAAGCACTATTTTTTATAGCAAAAACGCAGAAACTTTCAAGCTGTTGGGGATAGCACCTGAGTTTTTTTGAAACGTTAAGATCATCCTGCAAGTTGCGGCATCCATCTGACCAAAACCCACCGTCCGACAGAGTGGAGATGAAAATCAACTCATGGTAGCTTTGAACATGTTTTAAAGCCACCTGAAAGTCCAGTGAACTAAATGGATATGGATATATATATATATTTACACATACATCATATATATATATTTTTATAACCTTATAAAGCCACAGTTATAGTTATAGGGGTATTCCAATGATCGGAGTTTACCATGGTCATACCTGAACGAAGCCATTGTTTCAGTGGATTTCCTGGACGGATTTCACAAATCAAAGCAGACCGATGTCGATATTCCTATGGACCAAGAAGGATTTTGAATGGATATTAGTGGGTGTATATGTACAATGTAATATATAATACATAATATATATATATAATATAATGTCATATAATATAATCTAATATAAAGTAATTTAATAAAACATAATATATATATATATAATACGTATATATGATATATGTATAATAGGTATATATATATATCATGTATTTACATATAAAATTTGCATGTATATATACATATATATAAATAATATAATGTCATATAATATAATCTGATATAAAATAATTTGATAAACATAATATATATATAATATAACATGCATATATATAATACGTATATATGATATATGTATAATAGGTATATATATATATATAATGTATTTACATATAAAATTTGCATGTTTACATATATATATATATAATATAGATTACACACCGAATAAATATTCATAAATAAAATAAATAAATAGTCAAATCAAACAAATAAATGTACATAATCTGGATGAATTTGATAATCACCTCACATCGTGACATCATTGGAATGGTGGCCCCTCGTCAGGCAGAGTAAACATCTCCGAGGATGGGACAGCAGCTCCCTTGGCAGATGCTGGGCAGTGAACCAGTGCGAGGGGTCCCTGTGCACGAATGGATTCGTAATTTATAATGATTTACAGTATTTAGAGTAGTTTGTCAGTATTAGCCTAATAGTTGACAAATGACCCTTTGGTAGTTTTAGGATTGCTTGATATTGGTTCATATTGGCTAATACTTGGCGAATAAACAGTTGGTGAAGTTGACACACTTGGTCAATATTGGTTAATATAGTGGTAAAACCCAATGTCCTAAAGCTACCAAAGCTACCATTGTGGGATCATTTGAATCCTACCCATTGGTGGTAAAATATCGGGGATGGTTTATCATTGTCTCATTGGGTTTATGGCAATACAATAAAATTAACCCAGGGTTGATAGTCAGTTATCACTCGTTTGGGGTAACCTCCGGTTGATGGACAGAGTTTGTTGAGCAAGGGTTGACATTAGTATCTTGGTTGATATCTCAATTATATTCAGTTTTGATATCAGCGCTGTTGAGGAGTTGTTATTGCCAATTGGGGCACAGGGCCGAGCCCTTGGTGAATAAACTATCAGTTTACTAGTAGGTGGGACCAATCTTAATCGTAATTTATCATAATTTATCACTATTTCGGTACTAGGCCCCTAATTAATCAACAGAATTTACCAACCTGGGGCTAACAATTGTATCATTGTTGATATATACATATATATATATATATATGTCAATTGCGATGTCATCGTTGTTGATTGGCTGTTACTGCTGTTCATATTTACTTTCAATGCCCCTTGTATTGGAACCTGCAGATACCCTGCGGTGAGTGCTATCATTATTCTCACCATCACCCGTTTTGTTCACAGCTGTTCATCTACATCATCAGTTTTTCATTGCTTGGTGATTACACCAGCTACCATCTGGTTATTTAACATAGCCATGGAACATCACCATTTTTAATAGGTAAACCATCTATAAATGGGCCATCTATACCATGGCTATGTTAAATAACCAGAGGGTAGATCGAATGTATCCAATGGCTCGGATGGCTTCAGATCCAGCAAAAAGCTTTGTCGATCCATGGGTCGTGAGGACTGGTGGAATACCTACGATGAGATCGCAGTGGCCGCACAGGACCCCAAGGGTGGGTGCCGGACCGTCGTGGGAGCTTCTGTGTTATGGGCTTCGCGGAGGGTGGGTTGAGAAACAGCCATCAAACCAGCATGTTCACCAGTTTTGTGGATCAAAACATGTTAAAACATGTTAAAACCAGCATTGTCCCCATTTTTTTGCCAGGTGCATCTCCTTCACCAGCCATCCCAGCCATCCCAGCCATCGCAGCCATGGTAGGCGCCCACGGGCAGCGCGGTGAACGCCAGCGACCTACAGGAGGCGGAGACGTTGGCGGCCTGGCATGAGGCGGTCAAGTTTGGGCCCAAGTTGGCAGGCGCGGACGCCAGTTTTTGGTGAAGTTAGAAAGAATTTTATCATAGAAATTATTGCTATTTACAATCTAAAATCCATGAAATTCCAATTTCAATCCCTCCCTTAGGACCTTAGGATTTGCTGATGTTTCTGCTGATTTTTTATGGTGATGCAGTTGAATTTGCGGATGATTTGCAACTATCCAGGTTGATTTGCTGATGATTTTCTATCTCCTATTGGTTACTCCAGGATTTGCGGAATCTACTGGTAACCTTACTTTTTCATGGCCATATCAATCAAATCCAGCTGACATTAGTGGAAAGTGGCCAGAGATGTTCGGGGGTTTGAATCAGGCACCAAATGCGGTGGCGCCTTGCTGCACGAAGTGGGCCTGCGGCTGCTGGACACGGGGAGAAATGCTATGGTTCAAAACACGGCTTCCCTACGTTGGATTCAGTAAGGGATTATTTTGAGGTTGCCTCTGCCCCAGGACGAGGTCAAGTATCCAGATCTGCGGCTGACACATTTTAGCGCCCACTATGCCACCATGCTGTGCCTCGGAGATGTTCTTCCAAAACATGGGACCAGTTGCAGATCAGGGACGTATCTACGCTCTGGTAGACTTGGGAATGGAACGTCACAGCTTTTCATGGAAAAACATCTATACATGGATGTGGACGTAAGGGGTGGCTTCCGTTGCTTGGATTGCCGGAGGGTACCCTCAACAAGGGTCAACAAGGGTGATCCTTTGGCATTTTAACATGAGAATGGACAATGGGCAATTAGTCTAAGAAAATCATCCAGATATTGGGATGGTATAGAATTTGTTGCATAGCTATGGAACAGGGCACCTCTTTGGGTCGATTTGGCTATTAACAATTGTTATTTTCCATAGCTATGTTAAATTACTGGCAGTATGTCGGTATATCTATTAGTATCCCAGTATTATCCTATCATTATCCCATTATCATCCCTATTAAACCATCTTAAACCACATCATCCGGATTTTCTGCTGTCTTAGTCTTGTTTACTAGAGAGGACTACAATCGGGTTGCAAGCGCTACAGTGCAGTGCACTGATCGAGAGCGGGGAGGATCGCCCAAAAAATGGGGATGTTGCTAGACCAACCCAATTCACGATAAGGAATGTATGGATAATTAGATACGCTCTGGGAAACTAACATAGCTGTTGAAAATCACAATTTTGTAGCTGGGTAAATCAACTATAAATGGCAATTTTCAATAGCTATGCCACAGGGTAATAATGTGATAATTTCCATCCATCATGGATGGATAATATCAATTATCAATAATTATCACATTATCCTTCATGATATGTTAATATGATTCATATTAGCAGTAATTCTTGACATGTCCCGCACTATTATCATAATATGGACAATTCCTTTCTATGCCATCATGGGGATAATAGTGAATGAACATTCATAGGATGCTTTTTTTGACATGACACATCCATGTTCCGATCATTTTTTTGCTGATTATAGTAATGATGGGATGCAAATCCGAGAATTTTGATCAGCAAAAAGGACAGGAGATTTTAACATACGATCTCATTGTTGTATGTTTTCCATCATTCCCCTATATTTTTTTGTTGATTGGTACCCTCTGGTTATGACTAACATAGCCATGGAAAGATCCACCATTTTTAATAGGTAAACCATTTATAAATGGGCCACCTATACCATGGCTATGTTAAATAACCAGAGGGTATCCATTTTGATGGTTCTAAGCTTCCTGGAACTATGTGTTCCTCCCAAAATCCAACGCACAAAATCCCTGATGCCATGGCGAAAACCTGGCGAGGTGTTTGTTGTCCGCCCTTGGGGTGCCGGACTACACCGCTACTGACTCCTGGACTTTGGGGGGTGACGAGTGGTTATGAACCAATGAAATATATGCAGATGGATGGAGAAACAGTTTCTGTGAACTTGGATGATTTTTGAACAGAACTTCATTTTATGCTTTCAGGGGGTTTTGGACGTTCCAGCCCTTGAACTGTTTGGGATTTCACATTATTCCACGGTCCACGGCCTAGACCCAAGCCCAAGCTGATCACCCTGGCGCCCAAGAAAGGTGGTGATGTTTTGTCCCAGGTGTCTAAGCTGGTGATGAAACTGTTTCATAGAAAGTCGGGAAAACTCGGAACGATCATTATGAATGTCATCTGATCTGTCATTGCTATGTAATGTCTGTGTTGCTAGGTTGCTAGAATAGTAAGAAGTGTTGCCTTTTCTCTTCATTGAGAACGTGGCTTCCAACGGATTTTTCGTTGGCCGCAGGATGGGTATCGAATGATGTTCACATGGATCAAATTGCCGAATGAAGGATTTCCCATCATATTTTTTTCATGCGGATATATGCCCCTATGTCAAGAAACATCGCTTGGCAGAAGCTCACCAGTTTTATTAGATGGAATCACAAAACCCTTTGTTCATGTAACCTGGCACAGTGAACACTTTTTCAGTTTATTTACTTCCCACTAATGGATTATTATTCTCAAAAACAATGATGTTTCCAATGCCAATCTCGAATTCGCAGAGCTTTTCTGAACAAACCATCTACTCATGGTTTTTGGTGGATTCTTCATGATTTCTGGTTTTATATCGTAAAAAACGCATGAACATCAGCATTGCTGGGCTCCATCCCGTTGTTTCCTACGTCTTTTTGAACGCCGAAGCGTGGCGCTTCCCACGGCCATTTTCCGCAGGATTCGGCAGGAGCTGTTGGGCCTGAGCAGCGTCCTGGCCTTCGAAGTGGCCAAAATCGGCACGGGCGAAAGAGTGGTGGGGCTCTACTACTGGCCAGGCCGGGAGATGAAATATCTATAGAGATACCCTCTGGTTATTAAACATAGCCATGGAAAATCCCTTATAAATGGAGGTTCTAATGGGAAATTCATCTATAAATGGGCCATTTTCCATGGCTATGTTAAATAACCAGAGGGTATATGATATTATTACACACACACACATATATATTGTTTAATGATATCCAAAACTACTATAGGTAGATTCTATAGATATGATATGATGTTGATATTCGGCATCTAGTAAGTGAAAAAAAATCCATCTACTAGCCAGGCCGCAAACGCCTGGGGATGGGGATGGGACAATAGTAATTGGCATATATTTTTTTCAGCATGGACTATAGTATAGTTTCATCATAGTGTTTTTCCACCGATTTTCCATCTCCAAACTATTGGAATTACAATATTTGCTGACTTAATGGGGAAAATAACGCAGAATACCCTCTGGTTATGTCAAACATAGCTATTGAAAATGGCCATAGACATAGTGGATTTACCCAGCTACAAAATGGTGGATCTTTCCATAGCTTTTTGTTAACGTTTACCAGAGGGTAGTTCCAATATGTTCCAATTGGACAATAGTCATCTCCCAATCGTAGTAAGAATCCAATTATCATCATTGGGATAATAGTAGAGTTGGAAATAAGAATCCAATTGGGAGGGATTCCTGGAAGGGCCCATACAACTGAGTGGATGGTATACCAGACCGGTTTCGGATGGGTGCTGGGATGGGGATAGTGATGATTATTGGGATATGAAGAATTATCCCTCTCTACCCTCTTGTAATTTAACATAGCCATTGAAAATGGCCATAGAAAAAATGGATTTACCCATAAAAAATGGTGATTGTCCATAATTACGTTAGTTTACCAGAGGGTATCAATGATATTTTTGAGATGAGAAGGGGGATGGGGATGGGGGAATCATCCCAATGATCATACCGTAATGATCATCCCAATAGTAGGGAAAAACCGGTACCATGGTCCCAGATGCTTAGGTTTTAGATGGGCCTCGGTGGTAGTGAACTAGAGTAGTTAGTAAGTAAATGGATGATCATTGTTTTTTTTTGGAGGTGTTACTGAGCCCAGTTGCTGACCAGGAATCGCCTTTTACCCATGACCAAAGTGGGTACGGAGGGATGGGATGGGGATAGGATTTTAACTCTTGGGATATGAAGAACAAATTGTCTCCCAATGATATTTCATGATCAATATTACTGGGATGGGTGGGGATGTGTATGGTTGGGGAATCAGACTGGTCAGACTGGTGGTGTTGGACTTTGTCAAAATCGAAATAACCACGGTAAAAAAATACTAAAACTAAGACCAAGGATGATTATTGTCGGCATGATGGGTTTATGATATTGCCAGGCAGGTATGGTGGCTGGGCATGGTGGGGAGTTGGGGACGTGGATGGAGGTTGTTGAAGGTTGTTGTTTACCAAAGGACAGCACTTGTCATCCCAATTATCAGCACAATAGTAATAATGAAAATAGTATATATATATATACATATATATTTCCAATCATTTCTCAGTGAGTACATTATTCTTCAACTATTCAGATTAACATCACCAATATACAAGAGAGACAACATCATAGCGATTCTAAAACATAATAGACAGATAACAACTTAATGTGTATTATATTTTACTATAACATATTATCAACATTACTATTGGCATTGTAGAGAAGTAAACACATATAGATAATATTTGGTTGTTCATATCCCACTAAGGATTGAATCCAAACCAATGCCGGCCATAGACTTCCATGTCCATCCCAGACCCAAACATGGTTCACTTCAAGCCCAACTTGTCCGGTAAATTCACAGATGGTAAGATTAGCATAATTGCATTATACCAACAAAAAAATGGTCAGCAACGCCATGATAATACATGACACAAATATCCCAACATTGATAGTCATACTGTACCAGTTTAAAGGTTGTAAGAACACAAATAGCAATCGTAATCATAACACTCAAAAAAAACAGCAATCACGGGGATCATAACACTGCATACACAACATCATAATGATCACAATATATCACAACCATAGTAGTCGTGATATACATTATAATGATAATAATAATCATCATTAGCATAATCATCATCACAGCCATAGTAATGCTATGATTATGACGATGATTAGTATTAACCAGATCATTTATAGTTATCATAATGACTGGCTAATACATGATCATGATGTATAACCATTAAAAAACAGTGATAATGTCAATTTCCCAACTTTATTGTTGTTGATTAATTAGTAGTTAATGACAACTAATCAACCAGTGATAGTTAGTAATGGTTAATTAATAGTTAATTACTAACCATTGGTTAACAACCATTATTAATATTACTAGCACTATTGGTTATAAACTAATGGTTAGTTGCTAGTTAACCAATGTTAACCACGAACGACTATTAATCATTATTGGTTACTTATCACTTCAATGGCCATTCCAGGATCCTAAATTGGAGGTACCTACCATATATAAGGCCTATGTAAGGCCTATGTTTGCGGGAATATCCCCAGAAAATATGGCCTTATATGGTACAGTACCTCCATTTTAGGATCCTGGAATTCCCATTGACTCCAGATTGTTGCTAGGGAGGTGCCAGATGAAAACTCATTATTTCTATTGCCATTTTCCAGTTCGCTTTTTGTATGTTTACCATTTAGGGTAACTATTAACCATTAACCATAGATTATCCATTAATATGAACCATGGATTAACCATTTATAGATGGTTTACCCATTAAAACCTCCATTTTCCCATGGTTTTCCTATGGTTTTCCCATTAGTTGCTGGTTAGTTGCTGGCTGGTTATCGCTTGGTGGCAGGCCCCGACAGCTCCACGGAGACCAGCGAGTCCTGGCGCCTGGTGCAGCTGCCCTGCGGCGACCCAGCGGGGCGTTGTAGCACCAAGCAGCGCCACGGCTGCAACGGCGACCGTTGTTTCACCGGTGGCTTCACCAACAGAAAACCATGGGAAAACCATAGGAAAACCATAGGAAAATGGAGGTTTACCCTCTGGTAATTTAACATAGCTATTGAAAATGGCCATTGATAGTGGATTTTCCCAGCTACAAAATGGTGGATCTTTCAATAGCTATGTTAAATTACCAGAGGGTAGTTCTTCAACATGATGGTTCATGATGGTTTTTTAAGAGTATGGTGATTCACCAAAATTTTAGGTTTTCAACATGATGGATAGTAGGGTTATGAATATAACTTACCAACTGCAATGCATATCCCAGTAGCCTGCAACCGTTTTATCCTGCTTAACCAACACAAGTCGGGGTTTGAAGCATGAAAAAAGCACATTTTTCTATCACCGAGCATAGGGGTTCAGCCAGAAGAGTTATGAATCATGATCAATCATTTAGATCGGGGCATGCAGGGCGCGGGGTCAGATCGAATGTGGAAGTGAAACATGTGGTGATTTTGAGGGTCAAAAAGGACAGTGGATCTAGTGGTAAATGCCACGCGCACAGGTATACAGATATGTGATTTTGTATGTATATATATATATATCTATATATATATACAATGTGCATTCATGTTTGAATATTTTTGCATATATAATATATTTGTATATATATAATATATTTGTATATATATATGTACGTAGTGGTATGGTATGGTGTTATGGTATGTTTTGGTATGGTCTGGTATGGTATGGTAATGTAATGTATTGTAATGTAATGTAATGTAATGTATGTATATTTGCATATTTGCTAAATAAATAAATATATATATATATGTGTGTACATATGCACCAGTGGAAAGATCAATGGATACATCACAATAAGCTGTATTCTGTATTCTAGTTATCTATGCGCTAGCTATACTTATCAATTATTTTTTCTCTACATGTCTATGTATATTGTCCGGTAGTCATATTGTCCATTATTATGTATTCATTTTGATATGGGTGATGGTTGGGTCTCAAATTAAAACACCAAGCGCAGCAATTTTGATCCAGGTATTGTGGATCTTAACCATCTGGTATTAGTATCCATTACCCTCTGGTAAATTAATCAATTTTTAGAGGAACTAATCCAGGTATCCATAGTATCCATTTTTACCATAGTGTCCATCTGTAAATTAACAGTTGGACCCTGGAAATCACCAATTTTTAGTGGTTTCACCAATCTTCCAACCCCTATGACTGCCATGGTCTATGTTAATTTACCAGAGGGTAACACCCATCTAATTTCTATTATTACAATATTTTCATTAATGCCAGAAATAATTTACCATTACAATAACCACCTATTATCTTAATTATCCAACAGTGGGTATTAGTGAATCACAACTGGATCCGAATGATGTATAAGAATATCAGATAATACTCATTGTATGCTAACATTACTAGATAGATGGTTCCAGGTAGTATCCATCTATGATATCTATGTAATCTCAGTTCAATGTTTACAATATTTCATCTACATACGATTGATTAAGGCTTTGATATCCGTGATTGATAGACACGTATCTTTATATTGCAATGTCTTATTTGATAGAAGATCTGTAGAGATGGATTTTGATAATAACATATGGCCATTGTCTTTATAATATGTAAGATCATATCTATATAATATGGCCCATTTGGCCATGAAATCTATACCAGCCATTGATCTCCATATATCAATAAGGATCAATGATATATAATGATTAATAGTAATTATCTATGAGGATCAATTCCATAGATTAAAGAGATATATCAGACATTTATAGAGATATCAGACACTTATCCATAAAGATCTGTATATTGGATCTCTTTTTTTTTTCCTCTCTCTCTCTCTGTGTATATATATATATCTACAACATTAAATCTATACCAGCCATTGATATGATATTATATATGATATGCTATATTTTTTCTATATAAGATGGAATATATTATTTGATCATCTATGATAATATGGAATATCACATATGGAATGATATATTATCATTATTTATATAATATATCATTATATGCCATACATGTAATATATTATCCATGATATAGATCGCGGCATGTCCGTTATTGCTATATCTATGGTAGTATTGTCTATTATATGGAATAAATATATCATATATATATATATATCATAGATAGGTACCATATATAACATATTAATCCATATTATATGAAGATCAATATGGCCATATTAATCCATATTAATCCATATTAACCCATATTAATCCATATTAACCCATATCAATCCATATTAATCCATATTAATCCATATAATCCATATAATCCATATTAACCCATATTAATCCATATTAGCCCATATTGATCCATATTGATCCATATTAATCCATATTGATCCATATTGATCCATATTAATCCATATTAATCCAGAGAGGTACCATCAAATATGCTATATGGCCATTGATCGCCGATGACTCGGAGAGGTTTGAGTCCATCGTCGCGCGGCGCGGCCTCGGCAGCCTCAAGGCCTGGTGCACCGCCTGCGACAACTTCGAGCTGAAGCGCCTGGGACGCCTGGGGCGTGGGCGAAAAAACCCCGTGGAACATGGGGAAAACATGGGGAAAAACCATGGAAACACCTGGTGAACATAGGGAAAATATGTGAAACACCTGGTGAAAATGGGGAATTGATGTGACTTGAAGTTGGCAAACAATGGGGACTTCGGAATTTATTCACCATTTAAGCAATGAACATGGGAAATTTTGCGCAGGAAAAGTGGAGCAGATAGGATTTACAGATTTTTTCAGCTGCTGTTGGTCGCTGGTTATCACCAACAAGAAACGGGATACCCTCTGGTAATGACTAACAGTTTGCTATTGAAGCCATGGCCCATAGAAATAGTTGATTTACCTATTAAAGATAGTGGATCTTACCCTAGTTTTTTGTAACAGTTTGCCGGAGCGGAGACAGCGACAACTTCGCGCTAATAGCAGAAAAATATGTGAACTCGACGAGTCGATGAACTCGTCAAGTGGTGGAATGACAGTCAAACAACAAACATTCTAGCAAGCAACATTCTAGCAGATATACCCACCATAAACCCATAGGAAAATGGAGGTTTGAATGGGAAAACTATATGACTATAGGAAAACCATAGGAAAATGGAGGTTTACCCTCTGGTAAACAATTACCTAGCTATGGAATGGCCCATTTTGATTCACTGTATACCTTGAACAAAAAAAAGGTTATTTTTTATAGCTATGTTTCTTCATAGGCCGGTATGAGACTATATCAGACGCCTCCACATTTCTTCACCTTTCTCGTTCTGATGGTTTGATGTCACTGGCTCACAGACCTAACAGGACGTTCATCCAGCCGTGATAGGACCATTTGAATATGGCTTTGATCGAAAATTGTGGGAGAACCAGCCAAATCCCATGGTTGAAAACGATGCCAGTAAATCAAATTATAACCCTGCCATACTCCATGATATTGCCACTGTGGTTGATTTCATACCTGCACTATCACCGTTTTTGGTGGTTGTATCACCACGTAATCAACCATAACTTGGGTGTTTGAGTTTCCCATATTCGGACAAACCCAAATCGTACTATTGGTCATGTCCTCATGATATCCCATCTTTTCTCCATTTCTCCAGCATCATGCGCCATATCCCACTACATCTCCATGATATCAACATAACATTGTTGATAGTCATCATCGTATCTGCTCATATATCCATTATAACTCCACAAGATATCTGCATAATTGTCAGTTTATACCACCGTTTTCCCATCATTTGTTCGTGACATCCCTATTTTTGTTGGTTGATATCCCCATATACTTCATACTTGGTTCTATAGCTATGAGTCATCTCCATTTTTCGGGTGGTGAAATATCACCATTAAACCATATAAATAACCAACGTTACCATATCATTTTTCCATAGCCAAAACCTGTCCCATCAGCAGCCATTCAATCATTCTCATCCCATTGGATCCCAAGTGTATCACCATCGAATCATGGTTTTTCTCATGAAAAAGCCCATGGTTTTTGTGGAATGAAAAATGCCCGATTAATATTCAATGGGATTGAACCAAAAAACCCCTGATTTCATGGTTTAAAAAAAAACCGTGATTTTTTTGCGGAATTTGATGGTAAATATCACCGTGATTTAAATGGAATATTTATTCAACAAATAGTGTAAATTGATGGGTGATGATTGTGAAAATGGAATATTCCAGTCTAAATCCATGGTTTTTGGTCATTCCTCTGATGCTCCCGACCAAACAACGCCATATCCGTGCTGAGCTGCAGGCTCTGTGCTGCCCCCGTCACTCCGGCCACGGGGACCATTTCGCCTAAACGGCCGCAGCGCTTGGGCGGCACGAGAGCTGTTGAAATCCGATTTTAGGATTACTACTCTCTGGTAAACATACAAAAAGCTATTGAACATGGCCATGTATAGTGGATTTACCCAGCTACAAAAATGGTGATTTTCCATAATTACGTTAGTTTACCAGAGGGTAATCCTTTTTTTGAACCAGTTAGATGCATATGCACTTTGCGCATTGTTTTCCCGCTGTTTTCTTTTTTTTTTGTAATTTTGTTCTTACAGAAGGCGCTGTTAAAAAAACAATGTTTGAACGTTTGAACATGCGTTGCCTCAGGGAAAAATCGATGCTGTAAATTTGAGTCAAATGATGAAACTCCTTCATGAATCGACCAGAAGTCAGATATTTCCGTGCCAATTTTGTTGCTGTTTGTAAAAATGTTTTAGAACGTCCATTCCCTCAAATCGAAAAAACACAATTTTTCGGAATAAACATTTCGGACGCTCAGGGCCACTTTTACAACGGAGCAATGGAGACTTGTAGAAAAAATGAAGCATCATTTTTGCTGGCCTTTCCAATGTTGAAATTCATATGATCCCGCACGGGTTGAATTCTCCAACATTTCCTTACTAAAGACACGCTTTGGTGGTTGAAGAATTGTTTTTTGCTAGTAAATCAGTAACTTTGTGTTTTTTTGAAATTAGTTTGAAGTAACGAAACTACCACTTTTGATTAGGACAACTCATGAAAAATCCACCACTAAAAAATTGAAATTTGACGCAGCTTAGGTGGGACCTGCCTGCGGTGGTCTTCGTCTTCCTGGGCGTAGGGGTCACTTGCCAGCTGGATGCGGGGATGGAAGACCCATCGATTTTTCGACGGAAAAAATGGGGATTTGACCAATGGACGCAGCTAATATGGTACAAAGAAAAATGAGAGTTTATGGGCCAAAATCGTAGTTCTACTCAACCGAAAATGGTGGTTTTATCATAAGAGCAGTTTGGGGAAGTAAGCAACAACCATGGGGTGCAACATCATTTGATCCATCATTTTTAAGGTATTTTTTTTTCACAGGGGCGGTTCCACTGGCAGCTTGGATTGCCACATTGCCATGTCCAACCGCAACAGATTAGCCACAAAAGAATGGGGTATCCTAGTGCAAACACATGAGATTCACCCAAGCAAGAAGATTCTCTGATCGACCCCCCTTTTTTTTCAGTTTGTAGGCTGAAGTTGAGCCTTTTTCTTAGCCTCTGGACATTCAATTCCTCCCAGTAGTTGGTCTGACATCATTTTGTTCGGAGTGACGTCACAGTGACGTCCCAATTTTTTCAATTCCGTCCCCATTCTGAATAACATATTGATGATTCATTTGATTCATGATGAATTATGGCATATTATTATGGCTATCATCAATGGGTGAGATCCATATTACTCATCTTAGTAGCTCATCAACATATTCATAAAACAAGGCTAACAGGTATCATGAATTTTCATGAATTATCATGAATTATCATGACTTATCATGACTGATGCGTATCATTAAAATGATGGCTATCCCAATGTTGTACCCTTCTGGTAAACCTTTACATAACTATGGAAAGATCCATCATAATTTTCATGGGAAAATCAACGAACTAAATGGCCATTTTCCATAGCTTTTGGTCATTTATAGTGGATTTACCCATTGAAAATGGTGATTTCCCATAGTTTTTTGACATAACCACAGGGTAAACCTCCATTTTCCTATGGTTTTCCTATGGTTTTCCTATGGTTTTCCTATGGTAAACGTTTACCAGGCCTTTTGTATGTGATCCATCTGCCGAAAAAACGAAGACCCGCGAGGCCTCGGCCTTTCTGGCGGCCGGCTGCTATGCCTTTCGCAAGAGCTTCCGAGGCTGCCTCTATACCGAGGAGGCGCTGCGAAACGAAGCCGTGGACATCGGACAGGTTGATGGGCTCCATGTTGGTTGGTTGTTGGTTGATGATTATAGAATTATAGATTAGTATGACTAGTATGATGATTATAGATTAGTATGATTATTGAAGATTGGCTGATTATCGAAGATTAGTTGATGTTGGTTGATTATGGAAGATTAGTTGATGATTAGTTGATGATGTTGATAATAAGTGAGTTATATGTATATAATTAATGATAAGATAAACTTTGTAGTTAATGATCCCATGTGGGAAACCCATCCCAACGATATTTAATGTTAATGATAAGAATGTGGGAGACCTTTCTCCCATCCCAACATGGACAATGATGGGAAAAGCATGGTTAGTTTAACGGGTATATAATGATTGTCCATAGCTATTAAGCAACAATGATGAAAAAAATCATGATTGTTATAATGATGTTATAATGATATTCTACGGGTAGATAACATTGCAACAATGATGATGAATGGACAACTGGAATAATGTGGGCAAGCCTGGCTGCCATCAACAGCTACCACTTGGGGATGGTTGGTTTATCCCATGTGGACATGGCGATGACTTGGGGATGGTGTCTGAAATTGGGCAAACATCACATGAATTCTGCTAATATACTCGAACTTATGATTATGAAGTAAACATGCAAATTATGTGTCATTATTCTTACTAGTATTGTTTACAAACTATTTGTTGTTATGTATATTCTCGTTGTTCTTGTTGTGGTACTTGCATCAGATTAGTTCATCAATGAACTAGTGACGGACCAAGCAACCCGGCCGAGAGAGATCACATTGGGGCGATCATAGGGTCAGTCTGGGTTAACTGACCCCATTCATGATGAATGAATCATAGGTTATCATATAGCTATCATAATCTATAGATTACATTCAGAGAAAAACAAATCATAGGTGATCATAGGTGATGTTATCATAGGTTATCAGTTATCTAGTGATCATAGGTGATGTGGATAAATGAGAACAACTACATTCATGGTGAAGATGACACATGATTAGTTATATTTTTTCGCTTAACATTGCAATGCTGGGTAGTATAACTCCCTGATTTTCAGACATCCCAAAAAGACCATGCACAGTCATCACCGATTTGGGGGCTTTGAAATAAACCATAACAGAAGGCATTTTTCAGAGATGGTGACTATTCGTGTGAATCCCTGAGGATGGTACCCAAGTGACCTCTATTTTGGATGCTTCATCCACCGTCAAGACATGCAAAAACCTACTGAAAATCGGTCATTTGGGTTCGTCGAGATACTTAGTAGTACCTTGGTTTTGTTGGTTTGATCCGACATTTTTATCTGGTTGGTGGTTTCAAAACCATTTTTTGTTTTCCATAATGCATGGGATAATCCTTCCCATTGACTAATGTTTTTCAGAGGGGTAGGTATACCACCAACCAGTCATGCTTCTACAGCCAGCATCTGCACTTCAGGAGAGCCGCAGCATGATTGCGGAGCGCGCCCCCCGCGCGCCCATTGGGGCCTGCAGCCCGGCGCCGTCGCTGTGAGCAGCGGCAAAACGCATCGGCCGTTACATGGTGCGACTTGAATTGGCCAACTGGGATAGTTCACGTTGATTCATGTTGTAAATCTTTGATGTTACCCTCTGGTAATTTAAGAGTTTGCTATTGAAAATGGCCATTTATAGTTGATTCCATTGATAGTTGATTTAAAACCCACTAAACATGGTGATGTTCAAGAGCTATGTAAACGTTTACCAGAGGATAATGAACTCTGAAAAAAACATGCAAAAACTATCCCAACATGGCAATGGCCATGGCTTTTTGGGGATCCAATTCCTCCGAATTTCCTCCGTCATCTGTCCTTATCCTCGTGCGGATCGGCAGCTCGTGACGTCCAAAAAGGGGACCGTAGGGGACCCAGGACCCAGGGTGGCTGGAGGTGATAACCTGAGCCCACCATACCCGGCCTGGTTGAACATGGCCATATGGCCCTAATCGAAATAGTGAGTTTTTTCCCATGAAAAATGGTGGATCTTTCCATAATATAGTAACTTAATATAACTTATGCGTTTTCATATTCACCATCAATATGGTAATCTTAACCATAGCTGGTTGGTGGTCTGGAACATGAATTTTATTTTTGCATAATATATTGGGAATAATAAACCCCAACTGACTTTCATATTTTTCAAGATGGTTAAAACCACCAACCAGATAAGTGATGTTTTCATTTTTCTATTTTCCTGTCCGGAACAGCCCTAAGCTGACTTTTTTTCTTCCATCCCTCTGTCGATGAAGTATTGGAATCTATCTGAATGTGGTTTACTCCTTGGGGTAATCATTTGTGGTGAGGATCTATATCAACTGTAAGTCCATTTGCACCAGGGATCGGCATGAAAATCAAGGGCCTGCAAAGTGGTTTATGATACATCGAACTAGTAATTACTACAGTCAATGGGCGTTACAAACCAACAAACATAGACTAAAGATTTATAGCAAACATAACTATAGTAACTATAGATTCTAGTAATTTATTAGTGGTTTCAGTAATTTGCTAGTATCTATCCGAATCTATCCGGTGGATTCTGGTATGTTTGGAGTCCAAACTGCCCTGGCCCCTAGTGGCCCTCTGCGGATAATGTGGCAAACCCTGGGTAAAGCCCACAATAAAACGGCCCCCAAAATCACCATCTTATGGGGTGGGATTTCGATATATTTCATCCCCAGCTGGTAGCTTTATGGCATTGGGTTTACCGACTATCCTGGTTGGTGGTTTGGAACATTTTTTATTTTCCATAATATATGGGAAAACCACCAACCACTATCATTTTCACCGACGTTTCTGAACCCCAAACAACTCCCCAAAGAACTCGCGCGGGTGAAAACTGGGAGCTTCTTTTCCCGCACCAAGACGGGCATTTTTCCATCTTTTTTTCCAGCAAAGGACTACCCTCTGGTAAACAGCCACATAACTATGGAAAGATCCATCATTTTGTAGCTGGGAAAATCAATGATTTCTATGGCCATTTTCAATAGCTTTTGGTCATTTATAGTGGATTTACCCGTTGAGAATGGTGATTTTCCATAGTTATGTTAGTCACTACCAGAGGACTAATCTCCGACGGGGGATTTTCCACCCCCCAGCGGCATGAACTTCGCCAGGGCGCGAAACCGCTGTCCATCCGCCTGGCGCCGGAGAACTTCACGGCGCAGGGCAGTGTGTGGTGGGGGGCACCTGGTGGTCGCGGAGAGCGTCAGAAATATCTGGAAGATACCCTCTGGTAAACTAACATAACTATGGAAAATCACAATTTTTAATGGGAACTGTAAATCCACTATAAATGGTCAATTTTCAATCGCAATGTTAGTTTACCGGAGGGTAACATGTAACACACGAAAGTATTTGCAGGTTGATATCCTAAGATCATGGGCAAGAAACGCCGTATTGCCAGCTTTACATAGTTTTTATTAGCTAGGAATAGCGATGATCCTCCAAGTAGCCATTGCTGAGGTGCTATCTGCTGGAAGATTCCTTCATCCAGTGCCGGGGGGTGGTGATCGGCACCTGTCCGAAGACCCACGACCCCGAGAACGGCAGGCGAGTGAACAGCGGGCGGGGAAGGGATAGGGCAAGACCCGTGGAACAGAGAGGCAGGGGCCAGATGAGAAGGCTAAGTTTTGAATATTTTGGAAGTCCGGCAGAAAGTGAGCCTTCTTTGTGGAGTATCTGAGGTTTTTGATGGCAAACTGTTGGTGCAGAACATCTTCCATTTGGATTTTACTTCTAAGTTCTTGACGGATTGCTTCCAAGTATTTTTTTTCCAGATCATCTTCTAAAATTTGACCTGGTTGGTGGTTTGGAACATTTTTTTCCCATTCAGTTGGGAATGTCATCATCCCAACTGACTTTCAGTCCATAATTTTTCAGAGGGCTAGGCTCAAGCACCAACCAGCCATAATTAACCAATGATTAACCACTATTAAGCATTAACCAACCAGTTATTCGTTGTTCAGATGGCAGGTGGATGCACTTTCAAAGGCTTTTTGGAGGTCGTTCATCTTTTTTCCGTAGGCTCCGAAACAGATGGGACCCGGGGTGCAGGAACATCCAGATCTGCCGTTTACCGGTGGAGGTGCCGCGAGCCCCGGGACGACCGTTTTAGAAGCAGCCGGAGAAATTCAGAGATGGCCATGTTCTGATGGAAACATGTGGTTATGACTAAGCCATAGGAAAATGGAGGTTTATAGCTGGGAAAACCATAGGAAAACAATAGGAAAACAATAGGAACATGGAGGTTATACCCATCTGGTTATGACTAGCAGTTTGCAATGGAAAGATCTACCATGCTATTAATAGGTAAACCATCTATTTCTATGGGCCATGGCTTCCATGGCTATGTTAAATAACCAGAGAGTAATATATGGGCAATATCACCATATATCATCCCAATATCTTATGGAAAAATATATGAAACATATATCACCTAGAAATGGGGGGACATCATCCCATTTTTTTAATGGAAACTTGGGACAGATCATTGGCATATGGTGAATGTGAAAAATGGCCAGGTTCACCAGATACGTGGCAATTAATATATGGGAACCAACCATGATTTGCCAGCAATGGTGCAATGGCTGGGACATATTAGTACACCTCCAAAATGACCGCCGAAAAGTTGGTCAGATGATGGAGAGATTGTCGAGATCATTCTGAAGAACTTTCAACGCAAGCACTTGTATATGATCCGTTCTCCGTTATAAGAGTTGTAATATTTCATCTATTTCACCATAGTTTTTTTTTTTGGCCCCATATCCTAAGTTATAGGGGTTAAAATTGTCAAAATGCCATGGTTAATGTCAAACCTGGATTAATAAACCCTTAGGCTGTTTAATTGGGGGGTGTACCATGTAAGTATCAGATGACATCATGACAACACAATTTTGGGGGAGCACCACCGTAATTAAATGTAATTAAGAAACCGGGATTTATTTATCCAAGGTTGACATTGGCCTTAACCAACCATTGATAACCATTCTTAACTGTTAACTAACCATTGTTAACTGTTAACTAACCATTCTTAACCAGTAACTAACCATTGTCAACCAGTAGCTGCAGCTAACCATTGTTAACCACCATTAACTAACCATTAATAACCATCAACTATTCTAACCATTGAAAACCATTAACTAACCATTGCTAACCCTATCGTCTACCTTTGTTCCCTCTGCCCCCGTGGCGTCCCAGCGACTCGACGCCACGAATCGACGCAGGCGCGGCCCCGGCGCGGCCTGCAGTTTGCAGCGCTCTCGCGGGAGGCCTACGATGTGGGCGGCTTCTTGGCCAACGCTGCGCGAGTTCGCCCGGAAGATTGCGATGATATTGGTATAGGATTTGATATCAATATGGTGAATATATTGGTATATATGGTAAGTTACCAATCATATACCAATTATTCATTATCATGATATCAAAGGGATATATATATATATATATGTAATGGGGATATGGTGAATAATAGTAGATATGATAGTGAATAAATACTTAAACGAGCAGTAAACATGCTAGATATTGGATGATATTGGTATATGATTGGTTACTTACCATATATAGTTTATAGTTACCCTCTGGTTATTTAACATAGCCATGATATAGATGACCCATTTATAGATGGTTTACCTGGGTTTACCTATTAAACATGGTGGATCTTTCCATGGCAAACTGTTAGTCATAGCCAGATGGTAATATATGGGCAATATCACCATATATCATCCCAATATCTTATGGAAAGTCACCATTTATAGTGAATTTTCCCATGAAAGTATATATATGGAAAACTATGGAACATCACCATTTTTAATGGATAAATCCACTATTTCTATGGCCATTTTCAATAGCTTTTTGTGTGTTTACCGGAGGGTAACGGAAGTGACCTCCGACCTCGCCGCGACCTCGCCGCGACCTCGCCGTCCAAGGCCACGTGACCTACACCTCGAGCCGCGTGACGTTGACCGTGACGCCGGACGGCTGGATCTGCGGCCACTCCACGCGGGAGATGCAGGGAGCCATCGACTCTCGGGGCGACGACGGTCACGTGGGTCGTGTTTTGGTGCCCCGGTGCCCCGGTGCCCCGGTGGTTCCCCGGTAGAGCTAAGTTTTTCAGGAAGAAAAGTGATATTGAACATGATTGTAAGACACCTGGGGGTCATTTCTCGGTCATAAAAAGTGGTTAGTGATTTAACTAGACATACTTAGTCAGGTTGGTTCATAAGTTACCTGTGGTTTAAGGTATACACATATCTCTCTATAGTAAGATGATTCCATAAATCAACTTCAAAACTTAATTATAACCAGGGGGCACCACCTTGCCATGGGGTGGATGGTGGATGCTGGGTGGCGGTTTTTCCGGGCAAAAACTTGGGCTTGAAACTGGCAAAACAGCTGGGGGTCGAAGGCGAAAATTCAGGGTTTCATCCAGAGAAGTTCGGGGTTTACACAGCGAAACAGGATTTTGAGCAAGGAATAGGAGGATATAGGAGGATATACCCTCTGGTTATTAAACATAGCCATGGAAAATGGCCCATAGAAACAGATGATTTTCCCAGCTAGAAACCTCCATTTATGGTTGGGATTTTCCATAGCTATGTTCATTAAAACCTCCATTTATAATGGATTTTCCCAAGCAATAAATCATAGATTCGCACTGAATTCCCGTTGCTACGTTTACACTACGGGGATGCGGGATGGGGGATGCTGGTGATTTGACCGAAAGGCACCGCACCGAAAGGAACCCACCAAACGAACATTGAATATGAATCATGTGGATTTATGCAGAAAGTCCAAGTTCCAGATCCATTAGAATATGTATATATATATATTAGAATCCCATGGAAAACTTGTGATCTTGGGGATGGTTTCCATTGGTTTCCTTCATGATTTTTCCAGGTGCCCCCTTGCCCCTTTGGACGACCTTTCTTCCAAGGACTTGTCCGCGATCCGCTTCTGCAAGACGGGCGGCCTGTCCCTCACAGACGAGGTCATGGGGGTGGCTGGTGAGTCATGACTTGGGATACCCTCCGGTAAACTAACAAACAGCTATTGAAAATGGCCATAGAAATAGTGGATTTTTACCCATTAAAAATGGTGATTTTCCATCGTTTTTGGTATGTTTACCAGAGGGTATGGGTGCATGATGAATGGTCAATATCGTGGTGGGATCAGGGTTTTTCTCCCCCATTTTGTCATCCCATCCTTCCATGGTTTATAGATTTTATCATCATGGTTGATGTTTTTTTCCTAGACTGAACTAGGAAAAACATGCTGGTGTTTGTTTGAAACAAATATTTTTTATGGGATCTATGCTAAAGAAAATGATCCATTATGACACATAAAACAAATCATTAAACATCACCAATGAGAGTCGACACGATACTGCAAGACTGCTTGAACACGCTACAACGACTACAACGACCTTACAAGGGCTTCACTCTTCGAGTTCTGGTTCATAAGGGTGGTCATTTTTCCCAAGTGCCAACAGATATCAACAGGACTTTAAAGAAATTCTCCTAGTTCTTGGCACGATCCCCCAATGTTCTGACCAGCGATTGTCAGATCACTCTCTTAATGCATGGGGGAAATCGCAACATCTTGATAAAACAATAGGAACAATCACTTTCCAGCCCAGTTCGAAGCCTTTTTTCCATTTTTTCCTGACCCATTTTCTATTTTGTGGTATGATGTTTCAAGATGTTTCCAGTCACTATGACCGAGTTCTCTTCCTTCTTCACCAGCGGCATCAGGTGACGCTGCACACGGTGGACGTGGGAAGCTCGCGCTTAGTGTGCCTACAAGGGCACCTGCACGAGTGTTTCTTCGCATCTCGACACGGTTAGTTAATGGGAGGATCATGGATGATGGGAACTGGTTGATGACCAACATACACCCAACCTGGTTATTTGTTACATAGCCATGGTTTTTCGATGGCCCATAGAAATAGATGGTTTACCGTTCTTAAAAATGGTGATTTTCCATGGCAAACTGTTAAATAACCAGATGGTAACCGGGTGTTTTTTTTGGTTATGAAGCGCTATTCTCAGTAGCTGGAACTTGGGAATTGGTTTTCACAAGCCTGGTGATAGTAAGTCAAGTTGCTTATGCCATGAAAATTCACGAGGTTTCTTTCACTGGTGATCCTAGTCCGACAGTTACGAGGACCGTGGAATCATGATCCACCAAGATGCGGGGTAGGTGATGGATCATCAATATTCATCAATATATTTTCTGGTTGGTGGTTTGGAACATTTTTTCTTTTTCCATATGTTGGGAATAATCATCCCAACTGACGAACTCCATCATTTTTCAGAGGGGTAGGTTGAAACCACCAACCAGTCATCAATAAATTTTCCATGGCATATGGATGACTACCCGTGACAGACATGGGATGACCATGGGGTGTGCCATCAACAAGCAGCAAGAAGATCAATGGCAGCAATGGGGCTTTGAAGCTTGAAGGCCTTGAAGCTACAAACATGTGACAACATGTCTATCAATTGTGAAAGAAATGGCTGATGACATGCTGATACACATCTCCGTACATTGATGATATATAATTCTATCCTTCCTGTATTCCACTTGTACATGTCATATCCAACTATGATTAAGATAGATATTGGGAATCTATGATATGTGATATGTGTAGAAATAATGTATCTGATATAGGTAGAATACACCAAATCTTAGATACATATATGAGATCACGTGCCATCTTCTAAAATCTATGTGCAGAGTTACGTATTTGTAGAATACCTAATGCCACCTGCATAGATGGGCCATGGTTTGTTAGCCAACCCGTGGATTCTATTTGGGATACAGTATATATATGATATTTTTGGTTTATCACCCGGTTACTATATCACACTATATATATATATATCATACAGTTATTAACCACATTATCATCCACTTGCTATCTTATACTGACAGATAGTATGATATTTGATTATATTTGGGTATCCAGTTACTAATAGGGTGCCAATAGCAATCACTAATCACCTATCACCAATAGTAGTGATCACTAATCACTATATACTGGACATTATGACTCTATAGTATCACGATATATGATCAATAGTATTGCTAAATATTACTAGTACATACTAATTTTCATCCAAATTCACTAAGATAGTAGATTTTGGCACTACATTACCACAAAAAAACTATTACATGATCACTATATCAGACTGTAAACTGTAAACAGTATAAATTACCACCATATATAATTACCACTAGATTCATTTGTTTAATGGTGTATTATCACTAGATATTAGTTCCCATCCAGTGATAAGTAGTAATTAATTAGTGTTAGCACTAGATATTCTTTATTAGTACCACCATATATTATTTTTTATATACCTATATCACAGATATTAGTTCTATACACCAACAATACCTATTACATATATATATATATTGTTTAATCTGTTTAATCATGGGGTATGATATACCCTCTGGTAAACATACAAAAGACTATGGAAAGATCCACCATTTTGTTGGGTAAATCTACTTTTTCAATGGCATTTTTTAATAGCAACCTGTTAATCCACTATCTGTTTAATCTGTTTAACCATCATTAACCACTATCAAGCATTATTAACCATTAACCAACCACTTATTCAGGGTAGGGCTCAACCACCAATCAGAAGATGTTTATAAAATCTACATAACCATGGAAAGATCCACCATTCTGTAGCTGGGTAAACCTACACTGAAAATCAAAAGATCCACCATGTTTAATTTGTTTAATAGCTATAAATGGCATTTTTTTATTGGCAAACTGTTAATCCACTATATATCTGTTTAGCCAGTGATTAACCATCATTAGCCATCAAAATGGTGGTTTGGCACATTTGGAAAACATACAAAAAAACTATGGGACAGATCCACCATTTTGTAGCTGGGGTTCCATCCACCAGATAAAATCACCATGAAAACCACTATTCACCATCATTAACCACTATTAACCAGATAAAATCACCACTGAAAAGAAGTGTCATATAAAAAACACTATTAACCATCATTAACCACTATTAACCATCATTAACCATCATTAACCACTATTAACCATCATTAACCATCATTAACCACTATTAACCATCATTAACCAGCATTAACCACTATTAACCATCATTAACCATCATTAACCACTATTAACCATCATCAACCATCATTAACCACTATTAACCATCATTA